CGTTTCCGGGGAAGAGTGGCAGTGTTACGCCACCGCGTCAGCTGCCTGCCTTCCGTGTCGTGGGAGTGCAGGAAGAAGCCATGCAGCTGGAGACTCGACAGAGGGACACTTTTTTTTTTTTAATATTTAATACATTTTATTTAAATTTGACCAGAGACACAGAGAGAGAGGGAAAGGGAGAGAGCAAGCCACCAGGTCCGGGACTCAAACCGTAGTCGGCCATATGGAAGTGTCCAGCACCTTAACCACCACGCCACCTGCTGGTCTCCCAGAGGGACACTTGCTATGCACCACTGCAGCTGGGTCTCCACGCGCAGCTGGGTCTCCACGCGCAGCTGGGTTTCCACGCGCAGCTGGGTCTGATAGGCATCAGGCTGTCCAAGGGGGCACACCTGGAGACGGTGTGGAAATTCGGGGCCCTTTCCACGGAAGAAAGCTGTAAGCCCTTTGAAATCTTGGCATAAACAGTAAACTGAGGCTTGGTGTAAAATTTTCTATCATTCATATATTATCAATTTTGATTAAGTTTTCCACAAAATATGCCAGTTTTCTTTGGGGTTAAATAACCAAAATGCTTTATTATAAAATGTCATTCCCTAGTGTACATTTCTAAAGTCATCTGGATACCATTAAGAAGAAAATCTTATGAGTATTTCTTTAAGGAAGAGATCTTTGAAAAAATTCGGACAGTTTTCCAAAATAAATACAAATACTGGAAGAAGAATGATTTTTCACAGTATTTTATGATGGGGTAATTCGGATCCTAATTTCAATATTACTTAAAGGGACCTCTCTGGGACCAACAGGTGCGGTGGTGATTAAGGGCACTGGACTCCCACCTGGCTGACTATGGTTCGAGTCCCAGACCTGACAATTTGAAAATCATATGGGGCAAATGTGCACGTGGGCCCGAGAGAATAGAGAAGGGATTGCAGCGTGGCCTTCCTCTGCCCCAGTGAGGGGAGGGGGGAGATTTCTGACTTTCCCTCTCTGTCTCCAGCAAGCCCACATGCCCTATGGACACCCATTCTCCCCCCAAAAAAGGGACCGACCTTTCTGCCTGCTTGCAGCCCCCCATATAAAATCGATTATTATTTTAATGAATGCCAGATGCATTTCATAGAGCCCAGCCTGGTACCTTTTTTCCAGTCCCATGAAGCTGAAGTCCTGAAGCAGCTTGCTGAGAAACGGGAGCACGAGAAGGAAGTGCTCCAGAAAGCCATAGAGGAGAACAACAACTTCAGTAAGATGGCGGAGGAGAAGCTGACCCACAAAATGGAAGCTAACAAAGAGAACCGCGAGGCACAGATGGCGGCGAAGCTGGAGCGTTTGCGAGAGAAGGTGGGCCTTTGGCGTGCGGCGGGGTTAGCCTGGTGTTTGCGCCCAGGAATCGGCTTGCGCTGGTTGCCTTAGCGGGAGGTGTCTGGGTCATCGCATCACTCGTTGCCGGCCTCACATTCGGTGGGAGCGTCTTGTCTCAAGATGGAATAGCCAGGGACCAGCAGTTAACGTAATGGCTATGTCGCTGGACTCCCATGTAGTTGACCACAGTTCGAGTCCCAGACCCGGTGGCTTAAACTCACGCTGGGCGTGTGCGTGCGTGCCCAAGATCCCGAGAGGAGAAGGGATTGTGGCGTGGCCACCCCCCCTGGGGGGTGGTTTCCTGCTTTCTGTCTCTCTGTCTCTGTCTGTCTGGCGAGCACACGCGCCCTATAGCGAAAAACCTCTCAAAAAAAAGAAAGATGGAATAGCCAGTCATTCCCAGCAGCAGTGGCTGTTTCTGGGTGAGCAGTGGGAGGCCTAGGCGTTAGGTCCCGCAAGGGACCCGGGCCCTGGACAGCGCTGCCTTAGAGCAGAGCCACGGGGGGCTCACCTGACGGGCTTCGTCCGTGACTGACGATGCGGTTTCTTCCCAGGACAAGCACGTTGAGGAAGTGCGGAAGAACAAAGAGTCCAAAGATCCTGCCGACGAGACCGAGGCCGACTAACTGACCCTGAGAACTGACTTCTCCCCACCCCTTCCTAAATATCCAAAGACTGTACTGGCCAGTGTCCTTTTTCTTTGCCCCCTCCTGACACATACCCTAGAAGCTGACGTAGGACTATAGGTAGACTCCGACCGTAAGATGTTGTTTTAGGGGCTCAAGGGGAGAAACTGAAAGTGTTTGACTCTTTTTCTAAAGTGTTGAAGGTCTTTCTAATGTAGCTATTTTTCTCGTTGCATCTTTTCTACTTCAGCGCACTCGGTGTGCTGGGTTAATGGCTAGTACTGTATTGGCTCTGTGAAATCCCGTGTGTGAAGAAGAGTATGTAGTGGCTTCTTTGGAACTGTTAGATGCTGAATATCTCGCACTCGGTGTGCTGGCTTAATGGCTAGTACTGTATTGGCTCTGTGAAATCCCGTGTGTGAAGAAGAGTATGTAGTGGCTTCTTTGGAACTGCTTGATTCTGAATATCTTTTCTATTTTATGCTGAATATCTGTTCACTTTTCCATCCCAGTTCTGCCCCGATCCTACGAGATGCTACTGTACTTGAATGGTTAATAAAGCTGCACAGTGCTGTTGGTGGCGGTGACTTCTTTAACCCCGTTAGGTCATCAAGGGCGAGGCTGTGAGGACTAGTTTGTGTTGGTGTCAGAGGGAGCCTTTGGGCCGCCGCACATACCCAGCATACCCAGGGCTGCGAGCGCTCTGCCCTCGGCTTCCTGCCCCAGCGCTGTTCTCATTGTCTTCCCCACAATCCCCACTTTGTCCTGCTGCCTGGGCCCCGATCAGCTGTTACTATATTCTTTCTGATGTTTATTTGCAAACAAGCGGTTTTTTTGTTCGCGTGCCCTGGTTAAAAAGGCTAATCTGCACAAGTGGTGTTTCTAGCGAACAGGTCGGGGGGGATCTTAAGACCCTAGTTAGAGGCACATGCTGTGGCTCGTTTGCTTTTAGGTTACACTCAGCCAGGGCCGGTGGCGTGTCCTAATGCCTCTCTGTCGTGTAAGCCAAGACTTGCGCTGCAGAGTAGTAGAGCTTTCTGTGCCTCTGTAACCAACTCGGAAGTGATTAAAGGGGACGTTATTGTCTGGAATGGCGTTTGTCTTAGGTGGTAGAGGTTGGCAGATCCTTCACCCTGTACCCAGAGGCTGTAATGTCCTCCACTGTCAGCAGTTCAAGGAACTCCTTTGGCACCTATCCTGAGCCATTTGGGAAATAGCCATGGTACGCGTGGTGGTTGCTTCTCCGACGTCTGCGTGGAAGCTCAGGGAAGGCCGAGCACCTGTAGTGGAGGATGACTGACCCTGCAGCCGTGTCCACGCAGCTAGTGCGTGTGCTTCCGCAGTGCTGGCTGCATCTTGGTTTGGATTTTACCGAACTTACAGACTGCTAAGAACAGCCTCCCTCGTGACCAGCATTTAGCATAATGGCTATGTCACTGGACTCCCATGTAGTTGACCACGGTTTGAGTCCTAGACCCGGTGACTTAAACTCAACACCGGGTGCATGTGTGTGCCTGCCCAAGATCCGGAGAGGAGAATGGAGGAGAAGGGATTGCGGCATAGCCATCCCCCCTGGGGGGTGATTTCTTGCTTTCTGTCTCTGTCTTTCTGGTGAGTGCACATGCCCTATAGCAAAAACCTCTCTAAAAACAAAAAAACAAAAGCCAGCCTCCATCAGCCTGCTGCTCGGGTCAGGGCTGGGAGTTCATGTGCAGAGAGCACACAGAACTGCTCAGTGGGCGTTGGGCACCATGTACAGATAATGGCTGTCTCCAACCTGAGGCTGGGACTGTTGTAAACTTAAGCCGAAAGTGGTTCTGCAGCCCTCGTGGCCTTGAATCGATGTGTGAGTTTATGTAGACGTAAGGTGGTTTGTCATGGAGGGCGACCGGAACAAGGTGCGGTGCAGGCCGGGCAGTGACGGGCTCTGTGCAGCGTCTGGACAGGACAGGCACTCGGCACTGTCCTGGGGGGTCTCCCACGTGCTGTAGGTGCGTTTGCACATGTGTGCTGGCGTCCATGGGCTCTTTCGGACATCATCCCCATCCCCAGAGATAGGGACAGCAGGTGGTGTGGTGGCCCCATATGGCCAACTCCATGGTTCAAGTCCCGACCCGGTGGTCTGAAAAACATACTGGGAGCATGTGTGTGTTTGCCCAGACCCCGGGGGGAGTGGAGGAGAAGGGGTGTGGTGCTGGCCATCCCCCGGGGGGATGATTTCTCATTTTCCCTGTTGGCGAGCGTATGTGGCCCATGGCAAGAGCAGAAGCTAGGCGTCCTAGACGTGGCGGTGAGCCTTCGTCACGGAAGACCTTAGGGAGGGGAACTCCAGAGAGCAAGGAAGGTCTGAGGGAGGGCCCCCCTTAGTGATAACCACCCCCTTGGTGGCCCTGACTGCTGTCTGAAGGCACTCCTGAGCCCCTGCGTGGCCCTGGTGAGTCACAGGGCAACCAAGGGGAGTGCATCTCACTCAGTCACTGATTCGGGCCTGAGTCCTGGACTCCAGTTTTCTCCTGGGTAAAATGGGAAGGTCAGCATGGTTCGAGTCCCAGACCTGGCAACTTGAGAATCATGCTGGGCATGTGTGCACGCGTACCCAGTCCTGGGAGGAGAATGGAGGAGGAGGGATTGCAGCATAGCCATTCCCCCTGGGGGGTGGTTTCTCACTTTCTCTGGTGTGTGCAAAAAAAGAAAAAAAAAAAAAAAAGAATGTGAGTATCGGTCAGTTAAGTGATTTCCACTCCAAAGTTCTCTGCTTCTGTCTCAGAGGAGCGGCAGGTGCCATGGAGCTTCTGGGAGGGTCTTTGTTAATGTGCATTCCTGGGCCTGGGTTTTCTGTCCTGTCCTCAAGGGTCTGTGTCCATGGCGGGGGGAGGGGGTGACCTCTCCTGGCAGAACTTCTGTCGTCGGTTGCTCTTTAAGGCCAGAGTCGGGGCTGCCCCAAGCAGCACGCGCCACTTGCATGGAAATGAGACAATTCCTTCTTCCCGAGGATTTTGTACTTGGACTCTGTGACGGCCTCAGTGGGAAGAGGTTTGAGAGCTGTGAGGGCCGTCGGAGATAGACGTGAAGCAAGCACCCGGCACCTGCTCCATACCGGGCTGTGTAGGGGGACGAGAAGGCCAAGGGCCCCATGGCACCACTCAGTGGGGGGCTCACCGGAGAACGAGGCTCGGCCGTGCTTGGGTGAACGGCGGAGCTCCCGAGGGCTGGGAGGGCTGGGAAGCTTGGCAGAGAAGGCCCGTAAGCAGGCAGGTGCACCCGCTCAGCCCCAGCGAACTGTTATCATTCAGCGTGTGATTGCAGAGGCAGAGAAGCTGCCCCGGTTACTGGCTCTCGGGGAAGGTCCCCCTCCATTCCCTCAGGTGAGCAGTGGAGGCCTTTTGCTGCAGGACAGAGGTGGTCAGAAAGCAGCCATTTTTTTTTCTGCCTCCATTTTTTAAGGCAGAAGAAATAGAGGTGGGAAGAACTGACTGGGGTGAAGGCAGAGGCCACAGTGGAGCCGGAGCCGGAGCCGGAGCCGGAGCCGGGGCCGGAGGCGGGGCGGGGCGA